TTACATTCCCTAAAGAGAATCAACTAATTGAAAGGCTTAAGAAAGGTGAACATTTCACAGAAAGCACATCTCTGTCAAAAACTTTCCGTCTGGTAAGGATGGTTGTTCAGCAAAGAAGCAGTTTGGGAAGAGTGAGGCTGAGAAGGCAGGGCCAGCTAGACTGTCCCCTGGAGGTCCTTCTGGGCAGAGCTCACATTGGTGGCTCCTGAGTTTGTGTCAGAAGGGAGATTGGAGGCCAGATGCGCATTCCCTCAATGGGCATTTCCAGAACAACTACCTCCATGAATGCCATAGGATGACACGGGTGTGCAGGCTGTGCACTGCAGGGTCATATGTTCCAGTCCTACTTCCTGTTCAGAGGAGCCCCGACTCTCTTGCAGCTATAGGGTTCTGAATGTGACGTAGATTCTGCCAACTGAGGGGATTCAAAGGGCAGAAAAGAGGCAGCATGTTCTTCCTGCTACTGTTTCCACTAGCAACCAAGGTCATAGAGACCTAAGTATTGAGAGGCTCATCCACCTCCTCATTCCTGTACAGGATGTTCTTGGATTTGATCATTGCATTTCCCACTTGTATTAGTCCATTCGGGTGCTGTAACAAAATACTGTAGAGTGGGTAGCTTAAATAACCAGGGATTAGGGGTACAGGGAGGGGTTGACTACAGAAAGACAGCACAAGGGAATTTTGGGGGCAGAGAAACTATTCTGTCTCAGGGATGTGAAGGTATGCATTTCTCAAAACCTACAGAACTGCAAACCATAAAGAATGAATTTAACTGTATGTAAGATAGATCAATCCATTCATTCATACATTTATTCATACATACATTCATACATAAATAGGAAGTGGTCAGTTTTATTAAATATTCCAAGATCAAGGGAGATGAGTGACAGGTTTCCCCTGGACCCGTGGAATGATGATGACTTAGACCTCTGCATGGGTGGGTTCTGGGCCAAAGGCAATTGACCTGCAGAATGCAATGTGCATTTCAAGAGCATGGCTTCTTGACATGGCCCTTAGGGCTTCCGGGAACACAGTACTGCTCCTTGGATGAAGGAGACCTTAGTGCTGAGATGTGCACCTGTTGTGGGTAAAATGCTCAGATAAAAAGAGCCTGGTGTCCATTGGGCTCCCAGCTGTGGTTCTTCTCACCGTTTCTTGGTCATGTGTTTACTTGCCTGTCTGCACAGACTGGGTGTGTCCACAAGGCTCCGTGCCTAGCCTAGTGCCCGGCGCATAGCAAATGCTCAAGAAATGTGCATTGACTTGTACTCTTTTAGCATCAGGGTATTTTCCACCTTGATAATCTACCGCTTTCTGAATAACCTTGGCCTTCTCTGAAAATCAAATCACCCTCCAAGGTGAAGAGCTGCTATGCTTGAGGATGTCTCAGGATACATTAGTCTCATCTAGCAGTTTCCAGAGAGAGAGTCCAACATCTATCGTGGGTGTTCTGTAAAGACTTTTTGGATGAATTCATACATCTTGAGAACTAGCAGCAATGTTGGCAAAAGTATAGAACCTTGAAGGGGCAACAGTAATGGAGAGTATCAGCCGAGTAGCTGTTTATGTATAAACAAAAAAGTTCAAATGTGCCTTGGGGCCTCCAAATGGCGATTTGTAGGGTGCTGGGGGGATTGGAGGTCCTTGGAGTTTCCCCTCCAATGTTCAGGAAGGTAACTGGCAGGAAGGAACCTCCCCGCAGCTCCCCTAGGCCCTGCACACAGTTGAGGATGGGCACGTGGGAGGGAGGCAGAGACCTGGGGTGTAAGGATGTCTGGGCATGCCCAGGACCAAGAGTGATGGAGAAGCCACTTCTGGACACCAAGGTCCAAAGGCAAGAAGCTTAAACAGAAGTGGCGAGTGGCTGCCTTCCCTCCTGCCCTCCCTCCCCACAACCAGGCGTACTGGGTGCTGGGATCATCCCTGTTCCCTGAGCTGGGCTCCGCCTGCAGTTACATCTCCCCCTTCCCTGCACCCACCACCCCCGGATTTCTGCAGCTTAAAGGCTTAGGCGCAACCTCAAAAGCTGTGTGTGTGCCCTTCTGATCCCTCCCTCCGCCCTGAGGATTTGAGCAGACAGGGCAGGCTCAGCCCCTCTCAGGCACGCAAGCATCATGCCCTTGAACGTGGCCCGGCGGCTCCTGATCCCAGCAAGCCCATGGGAGGAGAAGGAAGGTTTTCTCAAGAACCTGGGATTAAACTGCTCCAGCATTCAGATTCCGACGTGGCCCGTCTAATCTATTACTCTGTCTCATTCTCTCGCTCTCTCTTGCCCCATGAAGCCAGTTTTGTCTTCTCTTTTGCTTTCTCACACCAAGGCTGTGTCCTGTGGAGCCGTGGGGACAGAATGTGCAGCAAGGAATGAGTCTGTAAGTTAAGGACGCTCGGAGTGACGGGCAGCCGGCCGAGCTCGGGCTGTGCGTACATCGTCTGGCTCCTTACGGCCCTGGGTTCTCTCCTGATCCGCATTCATAGGTGAGGGCACAGCCCCTGAGGTGTTAAGCAACTTGCCAAGGTCACACAGGTCATAAGGGGCAAAAGCACTTCCTGAGGCCTAAGTCCATCTGCTTCTAAAGATGACGTGCTGAGCAGCTGTGTAGGACATGCGCAGTTCCAAGACGTGGCTGTCGGTGGCAAGGGTGGGAGGCACAGTTCCTGCTGAGGGTGCTCTGTGGTCTGTGTCCCCATCCCCCATGCTGGTATCTAGAGGATCTGACTGGGACTGGACTGGTCCCAGCTGTCAGCCGCCACCTGGGGAGGGTGGGGTGGGCATCTGCCTGCTTTTGCAGCCTTTGATGTTCATGCAGGGCGTGACACACACAGTAAGGATGACTGTTTCATCACCTTGCGTTTTGGCAGCAGATGGCCACTGGAGAGGCAGAGGTCCAGAGAGCTTGAATGACATGGCCAGGGTCACACAAGCTCATGGGTAGTCGAGCCGGGACCCCAGTCCACAATGGAGTTTGATTTCCACTTGAACAGAACATCTTGGTGTTATAGGCAGCCCCTAACCCCGGACAAGGAACACAGGGTCCCACTGGGAGTCCTGGTTTATATGGCTGGGTGCCCTGAGCTGGTCATGTCCTTCTCTGAGCCTCATCTGAAAACAGATTTTAACTTATGGCTGTAGTGCCTGCCTCATGGCTTTAGGATGTGCCGGGAAGACTTGGATGATACAGGATGGTGGGTCGCAGGCAGCTGGGAGCTCTGCAGTTACCCACTATCTTTGCTGGCAGGTGAAGGCCACACGTGGCGTTCACTCTCTGCTCCATGGCCCTCTTGCATACGCATAGGGGTGTGGAGCAAGGCATGAGCCTAAAAGTGTAGTTGTCTGTTCCTACCAAGGGCAAAGCCATTTATAACCCACAGCCCCTCCCTGCTGGAAGCCAGATGACACGTCCTCAGCGGCAGAAAGACAGCATGATATTATTCTAATTTTCAAAGATTCTAATTTTTCAAACATTTTCAACGATGTTATTCTAATTCCCAGGACTGGATAAATCACTAGCTCTCAAAACACTGGTTTAGAGAATTAGGAAATGTCTCAAATTTTCATGGCAGAAATGTCTATTGATCTGCACTGAAATATCCCAGACAGCTGTGTCTCTCCTGGAAACAAGATCTTGGCCTCAGGAATGTCGAGTCTCTCCCTTTATAATTCTCCATCTCGGAGCCGACAAACCTTGAAGCAGATCCATGTCCTTGAGCTGACAGCAACAATTCTATTAAAGAATTTTGATTACGAAGAGAGAGAGAGGGAGAGAAGTGAAAGAATCTATTTTTCATTAAATGCTGCTTGTTTCAAAGTGGGAACATTTTCTGGGTATCTAGGGAGCTGATGTTCTCTGTGTCTTACTGGGAAAATCTGATCTTAAAAATCAGAAAAGTTTCCACGTAAAGAAGAAACCGTCATTTTCAGAGCTTAGGGCTAAATTATGTTTACAGAGAAGGGATTTCTGTCCTAGAAGTTTATTTAACAAGCATTAATCAAGTGCCTACTGTGAGCTAGGTGTCATTCCAGGTACCTGACAGGTTTGCAAGGATAACGGAATGAGACGGTACAGATTGTTGTTAATATTTTTGTAAATATTTTACCATTGGTTTATTGAGATGATTGCTAAGGTCTCTTGAGAACCTACCATGTACCAGACCTGGCCTAGGCACTGAGGATGCAATGGCAAGCAGGAGGGTGCGGGTCCCGGCCTTCTAGATGCTTCCAGTCTAGTTGGTATGATGAGGATCACTCCGGGGGTGTCTTACCATTGGTCTGTACAAATGGCATTGTTCATGGTTGCTTTTGTTCATGGAAGCGCTTACCCACTGGTCGTCTCTAACAGGGCAGGGGGTGAGAAGGGATTATTGCTGTCTTCCCCATAAACATCCTGAAGCAGGTGAGTTGCTCAGAGCTGTGTTGGGGGGCAGGGATGGTACTCGAATCCTGAGCGTTTGATTTGGATTGTCGCCACATCGTTTTGGCTGTATGAATAATGTAGCTATGAACATTCATGTACAAGTTTTTGTGGGGACATATGTTTTCTTTCCACTCGGGTATATACGTGGGAGTGGAATTGCAGGTCACATGATAACTCTGTTTCATCTTTTGAGGAACTGCCAGACTGTGTTCCAGAGCTGGACCATTTTACATTCCTCCAGCAATGTATGAGGGTTCCAATATCTCCATATCCTTGCCAACACTTGTTATTTTCTGCCTTTTGGATTTTAGCCATCCTGGTAGGTGTGAAGCCTTTCATACTGTTTTTAAAAGCACAAGGCATATCTAAAACATGATAAGCTCTAAGGTGCTAGAATATCTGTGGATAATCCAGTATCCAGCAACTTTTTCCTAAGAGCACCGGTCTGCCCTGGACTGACAAATTGCTGGCCAGTCCCCAGGCAGGTGGGCTCTGCAGTTCCTTGGTGGACTCCCAGATGTCATATGAGCTTTGTCAGGAGACCCACAGGTAACTAATGGTCTTCCATCTCCTCTTGTCTTCCAGCAATTCATGAGTTCCCCACAGACCTGTTCTCCAATAAGGAGCGACAGCACGGAGCCGTCCTGCTGCACATTCTCGGTGTAAGTGGTCCCCATGGCGCAATGTCACTAAACTTGTGGCACGTGAAGCCTCTGCACAGCGAAGCAGAGCCACAGGGTGTCTGAGATCTTGTTTCATCCCTGTAACAGCCCTATGAGGAGAGCAGATTCTGGACCTGTTTTACCCACACAGAAAAATGGTGTCTTAAATGTGTTAGATGACATGCCCAGTGTCACACAGCTGGTGGCCCTGGAGCCAACATAAGAATGCGAGTCTTTCCTGTCCCACATTTTCTGCTTTTATAAAATAGGCATGGTGTGCGAACATGGGTCAAGTGCATCAGACGTTGCATGATCCACGATCCATCCTCGTATGTGCTTGCTGTCACGATTCCCTGGACTACCCCTAAAATTTACCACCTTTGCATAACTATACAGATGGTCCCTGACTTACGACATTTGACTTACAATTTTTCAGCCTTATGATGTGAAAGTGATATGCATGCGGAAGAAACTGTACTTTGATTTTTGAATTTTGTCTTCTCCCGGGCTAGTGATAGGCAGTAGATACCCTCTCCCGAGCTGGCAGTGGCGGGAAGCGCAGCTCCCACTCAGCCATGCCATCACGAGAGTAAACACCCGATACCCTACTGTGTTGCCAGCTGATTTCACCCAACTGTAGGCTAATGTAAGTGTTCTGAATACGTTTAAGGTAGGCTAGGCTAAGCTGTCATGTTCGATAGATTAGGGGCATTAAATGCATTTTTAACTTAGGATATTTTCATCTTGATAGTGAGTTTATTGAGAACTAACTCCATCATAAGTCAAGGAGCATCCGTAGTTTAAAACTTGGGTGCACCTCTTGTCAGCCTTCCCTCTGTATTCAGACAGACCCTGATGACGAATGGTGGAGTTCAAGTAATAACTCAAAAAGGAACGATGGCTTTAAACCTAAATTACAGGTCACGCATCTGTGATGGAGTTAGGCAAGCTACAGCCCTAGGCAAGTCTGGCTCACTGCCTGTTTTTGTAAATAAAGCTTTATTGGAACACAGCCACTCCCATTCATTGTTATATTATCCGTGGCTGCTTTTGTGCTTCAGTGGCAGAGCTGAGCAGTTGCGTCAAAGACTCCATGGCTCACAAAGCCAAAAATATTTACTATCTGGCCCTTTACAGAAAGTTCGCTGACTCTGTGGTCTGGTACCGGGAACCGAAGGTGGTCAAAGTTTGCTTCCCTACTTTGGATCAACCACCGCAAATTCTCCTCCCGATCGGCCTCCACGACCAACCCAGCACCATCTGCTTGTGTGTTTACACCCAACCAAGTATTAGTCTTTGCAGGCGATAATTAAGAAAGCGAAATCTGGGATTCCCACATAGATAGTAACAACTAGAGAATAATGAATGGGTGAAGTTTTAATTAACAGGATAAACCATTAATGAAAGTGAAGACTTGGATGAGAGCTGTAGGCAAATTTTGAATGACAAGCCTACTTATTATTTCTGTGATAGAGTCATTATCTTTCTAGCTTCTCTTGCTTTGCATTCCCTCCCCTTTCACTAGGGAGTGTGGATTTGGCTGGTTTTCCTGTGGTCTTGCCTCATGAAAATCTTGGCATAGCTGAGACAAAGCCTTTTTTTTTTTGCTGCACTGAGCACACCTCAGGAATTTTGCAGGAATCCTTCAGAGCAGGGATTACCACCTGTGACTGGAGGGCCAAACCCAGCTCTCCACCTGTTTTTATAAATAAAGTTTTATTGGAACTCAGGCCACCCATGCTACAGCTGCTTTTGTTCTGCAACAGCAGAGCAGTTGTGAAAGACACCGTTTGGCCTGCAAAGCCTGAAATGTTACTATCTGAGCCTTTGTATAAGAGTTTGCTGACCTCTTCTTTAGAGCACGAAGGGACCCTAGCTTAGGAGCCCGTTTTGTCTGCAGTGCTCCCTGGCCCAGGAGGTGGAAATCAGGCACCATCTGGGCCCCTCTTTCCTGCCAGCGTTTCTCAGGGCATCGGAGGAGAGAGTGGCCCTTCACAGGAGGTGACGCTGGAGAGGATTGCTACAAGTGCGAATTCGAATTCGAGTTAGAACCCTGAGCCCTGGAGCAGGGGCTCTCCCACCTGCTCTCTCCCCTTATCCACACCCCTGCTGTTTGTTCCTTTGTGCTTCCCCCCGAAAGATAATGGGTCAAATTCAGGGACAGTCACACCCAGACTCCAGCAGACACCTGCCTCAGATGCCTTGGCCACAACTAATGTGTCTTCCACTTTATTTAATCACAGTTAATTGATTATGAAGTTGTCACACTGATGTGGCTGAAGCAGCGGGCCTTTTGCTTTTACGAACAGGACATCCATATCACATTATCTTTGCAGACAGAAAGGTTTCCCCCAGTGCTTAGAGTAAAACCCTTCTCCTTTCCCTGGGTCCTGGTCCCCACCTCTCCCTCCAGCCTCGCGGTCTCCACTCTCCACCCGACCTGCTTCTTCCACCTGTTGTTGCTCAGATGCATCAAGCACACTCCTGCCTCAGGGCCTTTGTACCTGTTGTTTCCTGGTGTCCTTACCA